TTTTTGTGCCTGAGTCTTAGGGTAGGTCAAACACAATGAGGGCCTGAAAATGGCCCTCCGTTTCAGGCTGAAAAGCCTCTGGGCCTGAAAGGCCCAGAAATAGGCTGAAAACGGAATATGGCCTGCAGGCCCTCGTTTTTCAGTTTCAGGCTGAAACGACCGGGGCCTGTAAGCCCTATTTCTTAGGCTTTTAGGCTGAAAGTGCGGGACGATCCCTGCAGAGCCCGTGTGGCTACACAGTATGCCACACCCCCCCCTCCTTGAAGAACCGAGCTTACTTGCGAGGGCGAAGCTGTCTGTCTGAGGGAGGGACCACAGTCCCGGTGGGAGGGGCAGGTTGTGAAGGACCCTGAGCTAACCTCTGTCGCTCGTAGTGAGCGTAGATCAGCGGTGCGGATGCTTTCAAATCTGTTCCTGAAATCCATCGAGTGTCGTCGGGATCGCATGCTCTGAATGTAACTTTGTACTGGCGCGGCTTGTTGCCGTACTTGCAATCCGTGATGACGCTGTCAACTTCCTGATGACCATCCATAGATGGAGGGTCATGCTTCGAGGCTTGAAAGACTGGATGGACCGTCAGATGCGCCGGGATGTTGATCACAAAGGAAGGGCCATCAGGCTCATCGCCCGCGGCTGCTGTTACGGGCCATGGTCTAAACCACTTGGGAAGCAGTTTGCGTGAAACGTCCTGTTCCAGTGCAAACTCTTCCGCGGAGACCCAAACCAGATCACCGGCGCGGATGGGACATGGCACACGACGCCTGTTGGCCTGCTGCTGCATGCGGATCTGAGCCTTTTGCATGTTCGCGCGGGCCTGAGCCAGCAATTCCCTGTACTTCCGAACGGAAGCGGGAGAGCAAGCGGCGTCAATGTCGGTTGGTCATGGGAGGAGAAGGTCGGCGAAGATACGGCCTTTCCGTCCATCGTGGTGCAACTCGAATGGAGTCACGCCGATCGCCGGGTGCACCGAAGTGTTGTAGGCGAACTCGTTGTCGGGGCGCCTGTTAACCCAATCTTTCTGGTCCGGACGGATGAGCGTACGAAGCATCATTTGAGCGGTTTGATGTGCTCGCTCCGTTTGCCCGTCCGTCTGTGGATGCCGAGCCGAACTTTGTTTCATCTTCGTGCCCGACTCCTGCATGAGAGCACTCCAAAATGCCGACATGAAGCGTGTGTTGCGGTCACTGACTATGTCTTCCGGTACACCGTGGCCACAAATCCAACTGGTGTGCAAGAGGCGTGCCAGCTCGGGAGCCGTGGAGTAGTACTTGCAAGGGAGAAAACGCGCATACTTACTCAAACGGTTCACAACCGTGAGGATGTCGTCGTGTCTGAGGCAGTCACGGGGGAATGGTCCAGTGACATCCATGGCAATGGAGAGACCGGGTTCCTGCGGGATCGGCATCAGGCGCAGCTCGCCGTAGGGGTTGCGGTTGCGGGGTTTGCTTCGTCGGCAAACTTCGCAAGAGTCGCAATACCTCGTGACGTCGGTGATGAGGTCGGGCCATCGGAATTGCTGTCGAAGCCGTGCAATAGTGTGGTTGACTCCGAAATGGCCGGCGAGTTGCGAATCATGGTACTCGTCGAGGAGGCAAGTCCGAAGACGACGGTCGCGTGGGACACATAGTAAGTCCTTGCCCCGCGAGTGCAGGAGCAAGTACCCATCGGCGATGCGATAGTGGCTGGCCGGCGGGTGATCCGAAGATAGTTGCGCATATAGCGTGGCGAAGTCTGGATCCGACTCATAGCCCCTGATGAAGTGTCATTGGAGCTCCTCGTCGAATGCGAAGGCATGATGTGTCATAGCGCAAAGATCAGGTCTTCGCGAGAGTGCATCTGCTACGCGATTGGAGAGGCCGGGAAGACGTTTCCGTGTGAAGTCAAATTGGTCGATGAAGTACATCCATCGTCCGATCGTGCTGCTCACCGTATCCTGCGTCTTGTAGTAGGTCAATGGATTGTTGTATGTGACCCATGTGAACCTACGACGCCCAAGGAGGAAGTGCCGCCAGCGCTTGAGAGCCATCACGAATGTGAGCATCTCCTTCTTCCTTGCATCATCAAACGAGTTGATGGGAGGCACTTTGTGGCTGGAATACTCCACAGGGTGCCAGTCGTCGCCGTCGTGCTGTTCCAAGACTGCCCCAATGCCGTAGCCGGAAGGGTTCGTAGTCACTCTCGTCGGCAGGGTGGGGTCATAGATGCTAAGGACGGGTGCCATGAGCATAGCCGTCTTAAGTGCGTGGAATGATCGGCGTGCGTCGTCATCGAATACGAATGGCACCTTTGGCGATTGTAATCTCGTCATAGGTGCAGCAATCCTCGAGTATCCGGTGATGAATCGCTGATAGTAGCCCGCCAATCCCATGAATGAACGAACGTCCGTGGTGTTGGTGGGCTCAGGCCATACTTGTAGGGCCTCGATCTTGTCCGCAAGTGGACGGATGCCTTGCGGCGTCACATAATGTCCCAAGTACTCCAGCTCCTGCTGCGCGAATTCACACTTGTCGCAGTTGGCTTTGTACTTGGCTTGTCGTAGCCACTCCAAAACGGTGCGCAGGTGTTCCACATGCTCGTCCAAACTCCGGCTGTACACCAGGATGTCGTCGAGGTAGATAAGTACGTATCGATCCAGCATGTGTCGGAACTCCGTTGTCATAACCGCGTGGAAAGTGGTCGGGGCATTCGTAAGGCCAAATGGCATAACCAGCTATTCGAAATGCCCGTATCGTGTCTTAAACGCAGTCTTGTAGCGATCCTCCTGCCGAATCTCGAGTTGGTGATATCCTGACTTGAGATCGAGCTTGGAGAAGAACTTGGCGCCGCCTAGTCGCTCGAGAAGATCGTCGATGCGTGGGAGAGGGTCGACGTTTCTGATAGTCTGCTCGTTGAGCTTGCGATAATTGATGCACAACTGCAAATCCTTTTTCTTCTTCCGGACGAAGAAAACAGGAGCACCGTATGGCGATGAGCTAGGCCGAATCCAGCCTTTCTCCAGAAGGTCGTCGAGTTGTGCCCTAAGCACACTTAACTCTTCCTTGCTCATTCGATAGATGCAACCGCGCGGAGGTACGGCCCCGGCCTCGAGGATGATCTCATGGCGGATGGGCCGATCCGGTACTACTCCGTGCGGGCCTTCGAACACGTCGCTGTAGGCGTCGAGAAGCTCGGTGATGCGTGGATCCGAAGAAGAGTCCGTCGATGAAGCGTCATGGGGCGGGAGGGCGTGGAGAAAACACACCCCCATCTCCTCAATGTCGTCTCTGATGATGGAAACTCGCATGCTTGCGGCGGATACCACGTGACAGCTGACTGAAGGGTGAGGAGGAGCTACCGTGCATGGGAC